TTTGTAATAACATTCAACCCTATTTGTTATGAATATCGACCCTATTTGTAATAACAATCAATCGTATTTGTAATAACAATCAACCATATTTGTAATAACATTCAACCCTATCTGTAATAATAACCAATTATATTTGTAATAACCAGCAACCCTCTTTGTAATAACAATTAACCCTCTTTGTAATAACAATCGTCCATATTTGTAATAACAGTCAATCCTATTTGTAATACAAACCCTTTTTGTAATACTAACCATTTTATGTAATAACAATCAACCCTCTCTGTAATAACAATCACCCATATTTGTAATAGCAGTCAACCCTATTTGTAATATCAACCCTTTTTGTAATACCAACCATATTTGTAAGAACAATCAACCATAGTTGTCATAATAATTAACCGTATTTGTAATGAAAATCAACCTTTTTTGTAATATCAATCAACCCTATTTGTAATAATAATCAACTCTATTTGTAATACCAATCAACCCTATTTGTAATACCAATCAACTTTTTTGGTAATAAAAATCCACACTATTTGTAATAACAATCAACCCTATTTGTTATGAATATCGACCCTATTTGTAATAACAATCAATCGTATTTGTAATAACGATCAACTATACTGTAATACCAATCATATTTGTTATAACAACCATAATTTTAAAAACAATCAAGACTAAATGTAATAACAATCAATCCTATTTACAATATCCTCCATAATTGTAATAACAATCAATTCTATTTGTAATGACATTCAACCCTATTTGTAATAATGGTCAACCCCACTGTAATACCAGCCATATATGTAATAACAGCCACCCCTATTTGTAATAACAACTATAATTTTTAAAACAATCAACCCTATTTGTAATAACAATCTACCTTGTTCGCAATGCCATCCATAATTGTAATAACAATCAACTCTACTTGTAATATTAATCAACCCTACTGCAATACCAAACATATATGTAGTAGCAATCAACCCTATTTGTAATACCCTCTATAATTGAAATAACAATCTACCTATTTGTAATAACAATCAACTCTTTTTGGAATAATAATCAACCCTATTTGTATTAATAATCAACCCTACTGCAATATAGCCGATTGTCAACCAGCCTACCAGCTTGTCTCATTGTTTGGGTATTCTGGTGTTTGCATTTGTACTGCCGCCGATTCTCACAACCTGGGGTCAGTTTCGACTAGCGTCTAATTACTCAATGAATTATTATTGGAGGTTATGCCACTGTGACATATTTCCTTAGCTTATGTGGTAACCACATTCCAATGTCAACCAAACTTATACTTGTTAAAATGTGAGATAAGATTATTAAATATCAAATTAAATTACACTATTCATTCCATGAACAAATTATATAATTTTTCAGTGCGAGATAATTAGTCATATCTGCATATTAGAAATCAGGTAATTTGAAGCTGACCTCCATAACTTGCTATTCTTGATTCGATGTGCAGTACAATCATATGCAAATTATTCTCCTGTTTGATTTCAATGACTCCTGACATTTTTACTGGTCCCTAGTAAAATTTATTTTTGTTCTTAGCAAATTATGTCATGGATGTCTTCCGTTAGTTACTACAGGTACGTCTTATTATTTAAAGTGCTGGTTGTAGTAAAAAAATAATCCACTTGTCCTAATAGCATGTATTGCTCAGCTAAACGAGTCATCTGACTAAATTAACCGGAATTAGAGATTGTCGACTATAGATGATGGAGACGTATACGACATGCTAAATACATTGTTTGTTTAAACGAATTTCATATACGCGCTACGCGAGGACCGCCGCCCTTTTTATTCGAGCAATGTTAAAATACCTTCATTTTAATTTAGTGTCCTCAATAAAACCGAGGTCACGACACTGTTGCAAAGTTCGCATCGCGTGATAAGAAGCGCAGTCAAGAGGTTGTAATATATGTTAAGGTAGAAGCCTACTCATAAATTAAAAATACCAAAATTTATTCATTTTGCAATAAATTGTACTCTGAGGCAATATAAGGATATTGACCTAAAATAATTGGGGGTTACCAGCTTTTTTTTTCGAGAAATTGATGGTTGTATTTAAGTGAAAAGTCGCCATTTTGACTCCATTATAACACTTTTACCACAGATTCCTATGGCAGAGGTATTATGAAATATTTCAAAATCTAGCCTGGTGACATAGGCTGAAAAAATCATATATTGGTTTTGATGGAGTACTTTTGGTTGTTCTGAATTTTTTTAAAAATCTGGGTTTTAAAAAGTGTCAAAAAATGCAATTTTTCTTTAACATTGAGTTCTATGGAATTGTTCTAAAAATAGGAATTTCAAGGAAAATTTGGACACATTTCTCAAAAAACATAACTGTAACACACAAAATAATGCTATTTTATTGTACCACGGGACATTAGCTTCATGATTGTACATAATAAACTATTGAACATTGTCATGCGATTTATGACCAATTTTGTCAAAAATTATGAGTAGGCTTCTACCTTAAACTGTATATTCAAACATAATTCGACTCTTGCGTGGTTTCTGATCATCGAATGGCCAAGAATATAATAAAAATATAAAATTTAAAATATGCAAATGCATGTTAAGAGATATTTTAATTAGCCCAGTTCATACACAGGTGCACTGGATATAATCAAAAAAATAAGTATACATTTAAAATACACAAATAAATGCAACGTACGCATGTTGAATCAGCCAAATATTGAACACAATCAAAATTATAGCTGTAAACATAATCCGATAAATATAGTTCATAAAAATAATAAAGTTTTTGATACATAGTATTGAATCATGGAGAACCCGTTCAGAATATTATAAATCATAATAATCAACCCAACCACAAATTTGGTATAATGGGGGGTATATTTAATGGTGCTTGTTTGTGTGTGCGTTTGTGCAATGTCACGTTTTCACTTACTGTTCCATCGATACTAGTGAATTAGACAGCGAGGAATAACAGTGTTGTGATTCATCGTGATATTATAGTTTGTTATCTTTTCATCACATCGTTCGTTATTTACTTTCGTTTGTCTTATACCTGTAATGCATAATACACTGACTCTAATCGTATGGCAGGATGTCCATTTAACTACTGCAATACCAACCATATTTGTAGTAACAATCAACCCTATTTGTTAACGATAAACCCGTCTGTAATACAAACCATATTTGTAATAACAACCATAGTTTTTAAAAACAATTTACTCTATTTGTAATAACAACTATTTCTATTTCTTCCTAAAATCGCTATTTGTTTCGGAAAATAAGCATTTGTATTCTTGAAACGCCAATTTGTATTGGTTAAACTTACATTTGTTTCTGTAATATCACTAATTGTATTCGTGAAACCATCATTTTTATCAGGAATTTTCATTTGTACTTGTAAAATCGCCATTTGTATTAATAAAATATTTAATTGTATTAGTAAAACCACCCCATTTTGTATTCATAAACCACTTGCTTGTTCGACATGTATGCATAGAGGCGCTGCTCGGGCACGTAGTATGACATTTGTGGGCAATTATCACGTTTTTTTTTTTTTTTGAATTTTTTTATCATTATTGATTAGGACATGAGTCATCGACTCCTAAATTTCATGATAATATAAACAGTATTCGTTGGAATTTCCCAATAATTCGGGACAACTCTAAAAACCATCTTATAACTACACATTATTTATTTCGAAGATATGACGTAACTTTTTTTACCATATGAACCATTGGTAAACGGTTCATAGATGTCAATTTTCATGGCCATACATTGTTTTCTATATTTTGTGAGCAACAGCATAAAAAACATATCGTTAAAGTCAAGGAAATAAGTTTTAATGGTGGCAACCTAAATTAAAAATAGGAGAACATTACGAAACACTGAATGTAGATAACATTACCTGAGAGCTAAAAATCTAAATAAATCGATCAGTACTATTTCTTTCTTATTTTTGTCTGGTTTTCGTCGCTATTTTTTCTTACCTTAAATTGGGCTGTGGCCAGCAGTACTAAAATGCACGATTATTTGTGTTATATGGAATTACCATGGGATTATGCATCATGGCACTGTGAATTATATTAATCCGTGAGATATTATGCATCCTATTATGTCCATGTATTAAATGTAAGTCCTGATGTGCACGAGATAGCATTACACGGACTTTAGTCTGGAAGCCTTGTTTTTTGGCATTATAGCGTAAACACAATATCGTGAGACACGATAACATTATGGGACCCTTGGTTGAAAAGCTTTGCACGATCGTCACTATAGCATTATACTATTTTAACAACGTTAAAATCTACACGATAGCGCATTAGAGGGAGTAAAGTTCCTTCATTAGTGGAGGTCGTCGGGTCGCTCTCCAAATGGCAAGCATGTATACAAAAAATTACCTGAACACGATGGACACTAAATAACGACTTTTTCTTTATACCTAGAATTACGTCGTTAAACCTAAGTAACGTCTCGTTGTTGAGATGCGCTGCACTCAAATTCGCCATTTTTGTTCATATGATACCAATAATTACTATTTGACTGCCATTGTGATGATTAACATGGAATGAGATGAGAGCGTGACTTCTATGTCAATAGAAACTATGTTGTAATTGCAGTAATCAAATCAACTGTACAGTTTTCTATAGATGCTCTCTTTGTCATGATGATCGATGTGTCGATTTCACGCCGACAGAGTTTCATAACTTTAGTATTATTATAGTACTGGCGATAAAAAACCGGGCAGAAATAATGAAACAAGTACTGAATGATTTATTTGTATTTTCACCCTTCAAGCTACTGTGCATTTATACTAAACTGCAATTTGAGCGTTTTCGAAATCAATATTACATCGCAAACCTGGAAATTAGGAAACCAGGATGGATCGATGTAAAACATAACAAATATTCATTTTACATTGATAGAAAAGTGCCAAAATGAACATCAAGAGGACCAAGACGTATAACGTGCTTATTTTAGTGGTACTCTGTGTGGCAGTTTATATATTGGGACATAGATGGACTTCGTAAGTTCATATTAACTGATTACTCAAATTCGAGATGTTTATTTATTCTCAATAGTATTGGATAAAATAAAATGTTTCTGCTTTTGTTTTTATAAGTGGTTTAATTAATTTGTAATATGTAACCTATTAACTGGTACAACACTTGAGTGACAATGGTGCTCTCAAATAAATTAACATTATCTTTTTTATTTCATTAAGTATTCTATGCATTGTTTGTTCGAACGCATATAAAAGAAACTTTCAATTAAAATTGTTAAAATAAGCATAACTTTAAATTTAAATGTATTTTACTTATCACACTGTTTACTGATGACAAATGAATAACTTTCCCTTTTCCTATTTGTGTAGCTCCAGTGTAAGGACCCGAAGTCCTAGCAAACATCAAAGAAAAATCTTTCTTGACTGTGGAGCTAATATGGCATCGTCAGTAATGCTCTTCAGAGAAATTTACCCTAACGGAAAGGAATATGAAATATATTCCTTCGAAATTGATGACAGATTAGGGCCATACTTTGCTGCATATAAACATCAAAGTGGCATTAACGTTAATATTCCATTGGGTGTTGCTGCCAAAAATGGTAAGTGGTACTCACACACACACTCATTACATCCACCCACCCAACAAACTCACTCACTCACTCACTCACACACTCACACATTTACTCACTCACTTACACATTCACTCACTCACACACTGACCCATTCACGCATTCACTCACTCACTCACGCAGCTTGATGCTATATTTGTTTAACTAATTGCTATCAAAATACACAATTTGCAGGAGGATTCACTGCCTACTTAGAAGGAGCCTGGTATCCAGGAAAAGTGAACAACAAAAAGGACATGCAATGGGGTGGTGGCACCTTGTTCGTAAAAGATGAAGAAAAAAATGCAGAAGATGGAGGATATCGAAAACTATCCCATCGTGTGACTGTGCCTACTGTTGACCTATCTCAGTGGATTCAGAAGAACACAAGAAAAGAAGATTACGTAATTCTTAAATTGGATGTTGAAGGCGCGGAATTTGAAATAATCCAAAAAATGTTGAAGGATCAAACTTTTGAGTGGATTGATAAGTAAGTGCATTGCTTGAACATCTACCTATTTTGAACAGTTGCTTAGAACACCGATTACATTGTATTTATTTTAGATCAACAATAAAAACATATTATATTAATTATTATATTTTAAATGAAAATTTTCAAAAGCAATACACAGGTTTATGACAAAATAGTTTTGAAATATGAATCATAATGATAAATGACGAATACGTTACTGACAACACTCCTTGGCTGCAAGCCCTGAGGTATGTAACCCAAGAAAAAAATACGAGTCTCAGTTCAATTGTCAATATTTATTTGAATATATTTATCATGTCAACTTAACAGTAGTAGAATGAGATATGAATTTATGCCAGAGCTTTTTTTCAAAATCGATATCCATACCCTACAATCAACTTGCTCTGTTATGCTCAGAAAAGTGTTTAGTGGCCCCTTTATATTAATTTACCTTTGATCCTAACATCCATTAATGGCATGGTCACAGGGTTAACGTGTGTTAGGTACTCATGCTGGGGAACCTTTTGTAAATATTACATATATCATTTTGGGTAACATGAGGAATATATTCATAATGTTTTGAAACTATAGCTATCTGTCTCTTGTGGTTGTACTGCGAGCTACGTATATTGTGACATTGGCATTTAAAAAAACTTATGGTCTTACGGCCAACAAGAAGCAAAACGTAAATGTAAAATCACACATTGTTAAGCACACTTGTTTGCACAAGGTCATAACATCTCTTAGTGCGTCACTACTTTTTATTATATAGACAAGATCAGAATAAACGGTATTTGGTGTGAAAACATAAATACAGAGTGTTCCCATTTTAATCACTTCCATTTGTTCGAGCAATGAATATACACATTGAGTAATATTGAGCAATAATATGCCACTTTTCCTGAACCTCAATGTCGTTTTATTTCAGTCGAATTGCTGTATACCCAATGATTGAAGGTAGTATGAGTTTTACACAGTTATTCTAATTGCTGTTTATCATGTCACTCTAATGTCCAGATTTTACGGAGAATACCACTCTTCACAGCCAACTGGATTCGACCTGGAAGCAAGGAAAAAGATATATAAACAATTAAAAGATATAGGAGTAAAGCAAATGACATGGGCTGGAGAAGAAAAATCATTTTCCGATTTTGATGAATTGTACAAGTTACAGGTAATCACCTTTGATTTATATACCACATCCACAAAACTAGAATTAATCAACCTCTAAATGTTATGTTATGTAATTAATGTTGAACCAGAAGCTTTATTTAATTGAGCTATTCATATCATTATTTTTCGTTTATTTTCAATATTTTATTTTTCTCACATTCACAGGTAAACATTATTTAGGTATCATTTCATAATTGACAATCTGTCGATCAAGTTTCAACTGAAATCACTTATTTGTATATCTCTCAACATTTACCTCAGGGAGAAGACAATATTCCTGGTGCAGTTGGCGAAATAAACGACAAGTGTCCTACGATGAATGGAAAAACACTTGTCTCGATTGTTCTCGAGATCGGTATGAATCTAAAGACAGCAAGACTTCTTGTGGAAACATTGAAAGCTTATGCGAAAGACGTGCCACTGACTCTATTTGTATATGGCGACTTTGTTGAAGAGCACCCAGAGCTAATCAAGGAATGGAGCTTACATTACGAGATTGGTATTCGAGGAAGTAGTCCAATGCCAAACGGACTATGGGAATTGCAGAACAACAATCTCCTTCGTTTATCCATCGTGAGTGCCATGACGAGACTTATGGAGCTCAAACTGGTAGCAAAATATGTTCTACCAACTGGATTTAGTGAAAACGTCATTTCCGTTACTAAAGACAGAAATCTTCGACCAATCGATTCAACTATTCGTTTTCCACCTAAAGATGGTGAGTGTATACATGATTATATTTAAAATGATTTTTTTCATATTTAATTAAAACCCGCATAAAATTGTGAGCAAGACCAGTATTTCAAGGTTGCATGAATTTTATGTTTTTATATACTGTTCATGACTATAATAAAAAAGAATTAAAATCATTAATTG